ATCGACTTATACGTAACAAACAACGTAGAATTCAACAGGACTAATGTGAGGATCTCCAGAGGATTTCCAGAGGGTCTCTGGAAAACCTTCGGCCAAAGGCACAGAGTTTAAAACCTGTTACGCGTGTAGGTTTGACTTCCAAAGTAAAAAAGTTAGTTTCAGTATTTTCCAGTCTGCTTCTTCATTTTTCTTGCTTACAATATACTGTGACACGTAATTAACATACACGACTAAAAAACTGTTCAAAACAACGAAAAGACAAAAATGCTGTTTTAAGCCCATGAAACTGACTGTGGTATACGCCTATGAGACTTTACTGTACCAACGCAAAGGTTACTATAAAAAAGCTGAAGCACTTCAGCATAACTTTGTCCATTTGCATAGGCTTCTAGTGCCTTCCAGAATCTTCTTACTAATTTCCGATCGATTTCACTGTTCTCGAAATATTCACGTGATTGATCAATTAAACACAGCAGCATTAGAAAAGTTTAATCTGTTCTTTTACGAACAAACGCCTTCATTGAACACCAAACTGATTCTATCGGATTAAGCTCGCAACGAAATTTTGGACAGTAGATAACTTTCATTTTATACTTGATGCCAAGTTGCTTAAGTTTTGTGCTCTATGAATATGAAGAAAAAAAGAAATTTTGAGCTTCAATTGAGATCTAAAATTTTTTGTTTATTACTGTTTTAAAAGCCGGATGTTGGCTCAACAAATCTCGCAGTTGTGGCAATAAACATCCAGCTGGAACATTGACATTTAGATCTTTTGCCAGTTCTAATAAACCTTTGGTTTTTCCCACATTTGGATCATTTTCAAAATGACAGGGAATCAGCTGCAAATCACCATTTTCATCTGTATACTCAAGGTGACCGATTTTACATTTCGTTCCCATACCTTTACCGAAATCGCAAACACTGTAATTGACTGCTGTGTGCGTCCTGGCATTATCGACCAGGACCGTGATCTCATGTCCCTGAAAGTCCTCTTTAAATTCTAATAGCTGTCCGAGTCTTTCGAATTGTTTCACTTGTAAAATAAGCATCTTTACCGAGCTGAATACTGGCAGAGGCTGAATTATCAATATAATTCACGCCGTGGTTATCTTTCAAAGATTTGAACAAATTAAAATACACTTCGAGGTTCCAGCTGGCGGATCCAGTTAGGAGATTCTCCATTTGAGACGGTATAAAAAGAATTTTTCTGTGACAAAAAGTATTCCAGAAAGAGTTTTCGTGATTCCACTACATCCTGTCTTTCGTGACCTTCCAAATAAGGTCGCTGTGAATTCGGAAGAAATTTAGAGCCCCATTTTCGAAGGTCCAGGCGGCAGCTACTTTCGGATCTTATCACGCCGGCAGTCGGATCTTTGGTTTGTCCAGTTAACTCATAGAATTTTGAATCAATAAATTGTGCAAGATCTGATAATTTCAACTCAGCTGGTTTCTGTTGACATTTTTGAGTGGCAAAGATTTTTGCAGCCATTTCTAATTCCGGAAAACCTTCGTAAAAAGTGCTGACATGTTTACCACCCCGATTTTCCATCGCAAAATCTTCTAACGAGCCGTTAACAAAAGTTTCTAACCATTTCTGACAAGTGACAAGATGATAACAGCCAATACTTCCTAAAAATTCATCACTTTTACCGGTGGGGATCTCAAAGTACTGCAATGTTGCAAATAGCAATGTACTAATCAATTTTCTTTCACATTTTTCTTTACAATCTGATAATTTCCGCCAAGTCGCCAATATAGGATAAAAATTCAGCATGACTGAGTTCGGTCTTAATAGCAGAAAAGCTTTCTGGTTCATAATCAGCATCCCTCGATTCGTCTTTCATTTCAACATCGTAATTGTAAGTTTCATCAAGCTTTCTTTCTGACCAACGCTTTGTTACCGCCGTCTTAGACTGATTGCTTCTGTGTGAATGGCCAGGCATGTCTAAAGGGGACTTGAACAAATCTAAAAGTAAAAATTACTGTAATATTAGCGAATTCAATCACTGAAAGCGCAAGAAATCCGCATTTTTTTACTTATGGTTTTCCAGAGACCCTCTGGAAATCCTCTGGAGATCCTCACATTAGTCCTGTTGAATTCTACGTTGTTTGTTACGTATAAGTCGATAACAGAACAGAAAAAAAGTCAATAATAAATTACTTATTAGGAAATAACTTGAAGGTTATTTCTAGGATTTAACCTACGGTTCAAAGAAACCTCAGTTTCTCAGCAACTAAAAGAAATAAAAAAGAGACGATACGTAACTTTGTTCGCTTTGATTCAGTGGTTCAAATGAGGTATTATTCAAGTCTCTATCCTTTAACCAGAGAGACTTGATTCTTTTTTCATGAGCATAGGTCACGTTCTGGAACCCTGCGGAAAGAGTAGGAATGTCCAGATCACATTATATGTGAATTGTCTCGGAAATAGCTCTTCTTGTTCCTTCTGTGATGCTAATCATAATGGAAAAAACCAGAAGGCAATACAATTTTATGGGACTAGAGAAAATCGATTTTATTCGAAAAGCCCACTTTTAGGTGATTTTGAGGCCTTCTCGCATTTTTTCCTTGAAAATTCGCTTCAATAAAAAAAGTAAGATGAGATTCGTGATCTCCGTGCTCTGGCGAATCAGAATATGTATAATTTATTTAAAAATAAAGATGTCATTCATTTTTGCCTTGCGTGCACCTTACTACTGTTTTTCAAACGTTTATTGGCTGCTTCCAAAGTTTAGAATGGCGCGCTAACTCATTACACACTTGTGTTCCTTCTTTTTCCAGATATTCTAACATTGGTTTTAATTTCTTATTTATTGTTGGAGTTATTAAGACATTCAGGCAAGGGGGAAAAGGCGGATCCGGGATCCCCACGGATCCGCAAAGATCCCCATGGATCCGCCAAGACTCTCACAAAGATCCCGGCGGATCTGCCAAGATCCTCGCGGATCCGTCTCAATATTCTTCCGCTAAAACAGAACACTCCTGTTCCCAAAACAGAACAGCCCGAGTTGCGAAACAGGACAATCATGTTCCGGAAACAGAACACTCCGGTTCTTTTATTGGAAAAATTTCCTGGATAACGGGACAATTATGTTCTGTTCTGCGAATTCTTTTCCCATAGACAGAACATTTCTGTTTTGCTTGTGGGAACAGAGATTTCTGGGACAGTTCAGTTCAATAAAATTGTATTCGCATGGATCCCGGATCCGCCTTTTCCCCCTTGCATTCAGGTCTTCAGCAAAAACATGTCCTGAATGCGCGTCTATAAAAGAGATCAGATCGCTAGGAAAAACAATGGATAGATACCGACTTAAACTACTGCCCTGAGGCAGTTCTATGTTAAAAGACATTTAAAAAGATGGCTAGATAACATATACAAATCTGACCTTATTTTTTCTCTTTTTTAGAATGATGTGTTTTACTGGAACAACCTCAGAAGAAGAAAAAAAGATGAAACGGGTTACCTTTCAGCAAAAACGTGTAAAAAATAAAATTAAAAGATACGAATCATTACTGCTGAAATGGTTGAATTTTATTGAATAAATGTAATTTTTTTCTTTTTGTTTACTTTAAAGCTCGCCGATAAAACAAACAAAATTAGGAGTTATGTCGAAAACATGAAAACTAAACCTGCAGAAAAATTAAAATGGATTCCTATGGATGCTGCCAACGGTATTTCTGATTTTCCAAAAATGAATTTCAATGATTTACAAGAGTTGACACTCGGACTGTATCAAGTTAAACAGGCCCGTTCTTATACGACCGGACATGTTTCTTCTGATGGATCGTTCATGGTTAAAGTTACGAACGAGCGTCGAGATCTGACTCGAGCTCAGATTCAGTCAAGGCATAAAAATGAAACAAAATATGACGTCTATGTGCCATACAACAAGAAAAATCTATCAGGTTGGTATTGCACGTGCCCCAATGGTTCTAGGGTGGTGGGCTGTTGTGCACATATTGGATCAATGATTTATTACTTCGCATATGCCAGATATAATCCAGAACAATTACAGCAGAGAGTATCCGATTATTATAATAGCATAACAGATGCTCAAGACTATTCAGAATTGTCGGATACTGATTCAGAGGATAGTGATGATGATAATTCCAGTATACTTTATTCATTGATTTGATCTGATTGAGTCATTTTTAGCGAACTTTCGACTATGCTGTCGCGTTTTTATTACTAACCAATTAAGCATCGATTTTTTCTCTCACTATATAATTTGTGTAAATAATGAAACGGACTAAAAAAATAGTGAAACCTGAAGAAAAAACAAAAGAAAAACCTACTCAGACCCTGCAAATCGAGCTCTTCGTGCCGTCTGGGATCAGCACTGCTGCTGTAGTGACTAATAGATCTGCCTCAAACTGCTTCAGGTGAAAAGAGAATTCAAAAAGATCTGTATTTACAGTATTTAACATCGAAATTTGATATAAGTCAATTACAAACAGAACAGCAAAAAGATGGACATGTCAAAAAGGAGATAGAAGAATTAAATAAAGATCTGAATAACGTCGATTTTGTGTTTAAAGGAGGAGTATTATATAAATTGGTTCAAACAACACATTCTACACGTAAAAAACAACCCCCATATATTCCAGCAACAATGATTACACATTTATTACAAGCGTGTCATGACGATCCGATTGCCGGCCATTTTGGCGTTGCTCGTACATATTTTAAACTAAAAAACGACTACTGGTGGCCGAGTATGAAAATCATCTGTACAAAAATATATAAAATCATGTCCTAAATGCCGGTAATTCAATATCAGTCAGCAAAAGAAACCAGGACTTTTGAAACCAGTTAAGCCACCAGATGGACCCTTTCAAATGATTGCAATCGATTACGTTGGACCGTTACCACGTACACCATCTGAAATGTCTTGGTCATTACTGACATGTTTACACGTTGGGTCACTGCGCTGGCTCTCCCGAGTTGCACAGCGCAGGTGAATGCAAAAATATTTTTTAAGCATTATATCTATCGTTATGGAGTTCCAATATCCATTCTTTCAGAAAACGGATCTCACTTTCACAATCATCTTCTTCAATCACTAGAATATAAAATTGGTATAAATCATATATTTTCGGTCCCATATCATCCTCAACATTCTGAACATAATAATTGGAACGAGTACCTCGACGCAGTTCTCTTTGCCTATAACACCGGCACTCATTCAACAACCAAATTTCCTGCCGTTCGGCAGAAAGCCAGGATTGCCGACCGACCTCTCTCAATCGGATCTGACTTTTCTCAAACCGACTGATTATGTAGTTCAAATAAACAAATCATTGAAATTATACCATACATTTGCACATGAAAACATTTTGAAACAACAGCGTTTATCTAAATCTACGTATGGTCACAATCGTCAAGACCCACATTATTCTGTTGGAGATCCTGTGCTCATTAGAGAGCAAGGGTCACGTACGAAGCTGGAACCACGTTTTCATCCAGTTTCAAAACTAATTGTCAAAGTTCTTCATCCTACTTATTTAGCTAAAGATCAAGAAACGCAACAAGAACATCACATTCATGTCAATGACCTCCGTCCTATGATGGACGTCAAATTAAATTAATCTCAATGAGCGTTTTTTTTTAGAATTGTTCATTGAAATTTTCCATTTACTTTGTTTATTTGGTTTTAAAAATGTTTTTATTATGTGAATTACTGCCAATGAAGTGAAAGTTGCCAATTAATTTGGATATGGAAGCATTAGAGACTTTGTTTGTAGACCCGGCCGGACTGTATGCAAATTTATGACCTGAGTTATGAATATTGAGTGACTGAAGGAACTCGTCACTTGGCTGACGTGTAAACTGAATCGAAAATTGCGGTTGGATCTCTCTATTTTTTAGCGAGATCCAGATAAGATAGGATTCCGCCCCTTTAAGGCAGAGTCTAATCATTTCCTCCTAAACGATTATTTACATCAGGTTTTTTTTGTTTATGTTTAGGAAAATGCCATATAATTATATCTTCGCACTATCGCCCTCCTACGATTCTTTCCAACCTCCAGAACATCTTATAACTAAACAAAACGTGTATGGAGACGAAATAAAGCCAAGAAAAATTGTAATGAACAATTAAGAAGTACAATGAATTTATTTATCATTAACCTATCATTATTGCAAGTCAACTTCGTTAATTATGCTACAACATCAGAAGAACTAAATTACTTGGTACATGTCACAGAACAGGCGTCGTCTTTTACAATCGATACCAAATCAACACGTCGACCATATTTAGCTAATTTACCATCCTTAATACAAGTCCAAGCCAATAGTAATGACGATGAATATAATGAAAACGAAATAACAACAACTCAACTATTAATCTCATTCGACTGTGTTTATTTACCATCATCAACTTCATTCTCATTTGTTTCTGTCAAAAAAATATGGGAAAATATTCTTCGTCGACACGAACACTTTCACGCATGAGGAGATCAAATGGATCAATTGCGTCAGTTTTTGTGTTATCAAATGTTTACAAATCAACAACTTCCAAGCTCCGACCCAGATACAGACCAAAATGTTCAACATTATTATTCGCGTTGGTTAGTAGGTAGGATCTCACCTTTAAGGAGAGACCGAATTTAGCTACAATTGACGACGATCAATTCATACACCAGCCGATATTTATTTCGAACCGGTAAGTTTACAAAAAGCTGTTGCTAAATTTGTTCTTAGATAAACAATGGCAGCTTAGCAAATGGAATGCTGGTTTGGATAAACGTTTAAAAGCGTATATTAATCCACAATTAACTTGAGATGCATTAGACAACAACAATTCCGGTCAATTATATCGTCGACGACAAATGGTAATTTATGCATCTTATGAATGTGTGGTGTTACTCGTTTATATTTTCACATGAAACGATCTACACGATCATTAGCACAACATCAACCGCCATTATCACCACCTCATCTCGAACCATGGTCGCCTTCTCAACAGGCATTATCACTTCATCCATCATCGCCACGACCGATCTCACCACAGCCTACACCCAACGTACTCACAGCACCTTCTAGGGCGTCTTCTCATTCATCTAATTATTGGCAAAATCGTAGAGCACACATCCGAAGAAAGAAACAACGATATTTGTACTCAGTCACTGATATCCTACATCAAAATTATGCATTACTGGCCGTCGATCGTCATTTACGCGAACGTCATATACGATTTACTCATGTCAAGGATAAAACCGAAAACGAACATCGTTGGCTTTGCCGATTCATCAGATCGTCGTATTATTAGCGAAGATTATTTTGTATCATTTTTCGTTTTATAACGTTTTTTTTCTTTTTATTCGTGTTTTTCCTATTCGTATTCTATTTGTTTATCATATTTCTCTGTGTTTTCCTTAACAATCAAAAAAAATAAAATAACCCCCCCCCCCAAAAAAAACAAATTATTTCTTTCTCGTTCATACTTTATATTTATTCGTTAATACTTTATGTTTATTGACCTTATTTTTTCGGATAGATGTTACATCCTTTTTCGGTTGTCAGAGCATAAGCCTCGATTCTCATTTTTCTATCTCTTTGTGTATTAGCCGCGTGATTTTTTCTTCTTTCGTACATGTACTGTCCAGTTTTCCTTTTTCTATATATGATTTTCTTTTTCGCGTCAGTCTAGTTTTGTACAGTGCTAGATATACAGATCTGTCATACACATTTTGTTTTCATTATTCAATGAAGTACACTTCAGGGAAAACTAAAAAGTTTTGAAATTGTTGAGGTAAATCTTTTGTCAAAAATTCTTGTTTACTGGTTTCTCGCTTTTCTGGATCTTGTACATGCAATACTTTAATTATGAATTATTACCACAAATCCATCATTGTATCAGCAATAGAATCAACTTGAGCCTGTTGTAAATTTGTTTTTCCAGCAAGATCAAATTCTTTTGCCAAATAGCGTGCGATTGTTAACGATTGAGGTAATTTGAACGGTTTCTCTTGATATTGGTTAGAAATAATTTCTAAAACTGGCATCTGTTCTAATGGCATTTCATGTTTATGATGTACTTTGAATTCATCATGACTATATCGGATGTCGTCAAAGGGCTGACTAGTGAAAATAAGAATGATTTCTGCACGTCCACGTGTATCAAAATAATATAATTTATATTTCGACATCTTTTTTCTTTTTATAGGCAACGAATCTTGTGCAGCTGTTTATCTTCAACTGTGTTCTGCGATGGATGAAGAAATGGAGAGAAAAGGAGTATTTTTACAGAAAGGTTAAATAATTATATATCCACTTTTACCTACCCCAAATGATGAGCAAATTATAAACATAAGTTGTAAATTAAATCTAACAAATCCACGTTTTTTAAAGTCTTAAAACTGATAAATGTATTTTAAGAAGATAATTGTTAGATGGAATATTTCAATGTGAAGATAATTCAGATGAAACATTGTACGCAATGTACCGAGTTAATCAATATCTTCGAGATGACGAGTTGTTGCTTCCTTCTAAATTTACTTCATACGTTGATTTTCATGAATATTGTAATGGCTTTACACACGAATATTACTTTTTGAAAAATGAAACAGATAAAACTGATTGTAATGAATTATGTCTTACAGATTATACATTATGTGATGGTGTTTGGAATTGTTTAGATGGACGTGATGAGTTAGACTGTCCAAATAGAATAGTTGAATCATCCATAAAAAGTGATATAGCGGGATGTGAAATAAATGAACATTATTGTTTCAAACTGAACTTGAAAGGTATTCTTGATTTGACTTGTGTACCGAATGAATAAGCAAACAATGATATCATTGAATGTTTCGACTTTTAAATTTCTACTACTTTTTCTAAAATATAAAATGATTTTAATCGATTTCCTTAAATCAATTAAAATTAATTCTTAGAAGAAAAAATTGATTATAATCGTCCATAAAATTAAATGATTTTAATCAATTTGCGAAAAACTGTTTTATATCGTTTTTTTCCCAGAAATTATAATCAATTTTTTTCATTAAATCAAAAAAGATCGATTAAAAAATAATTTTATGCCATATTTTTTTTACATAAGTGCGTCGATAACCATATGTGTGGGCTGCCTGTACTCCCTGCAATAAATCCCACTAACATAAATCAAGTAAAAATCCATAAAGGCCAGACACTTTTTTGATAAGGAATGAGAATTTTCTAAAACTGGAAAATATCAGAAAGACAATCAGACATCTCACTTGTAGTGCAGCAGCCTTTTAAATTTTCTTATGCAAGTATGCTGAGGAGCATTAAACAAAAAAACAGCCTTTTTGCTTTTCTCCGCACAGGAGAAAACGAACATACGCACGTTTCCTCTGAGTTCTTTTTTCTGTATGTTGCTTAGTCAACATCATCCTGCTCCTATGCAACTTTTCTTCCTTTCTAATCTATCCTTAAGCGACGACTGATTTATTATATATATTTTTTTTAATGATTTTTTCTTCCAACAACAGATACAAATCTCTTCTTATACATCGAAATTTTGTCCTTGGAAAAAACCAAGTTTGCTATTCTTAAATTTTCAAACAATATATTCATATGGAACAGTCTCAAGACTGAAACGGAGAAAAAAGGAGACTGCATTATAATATCATAGCAAATAAAGAAGAAGAATATTAAAATGGCGCAAAATTCGGTAACTGTTTGGCTTGATCGAACGTACGATCCTGCCACTGCTGAAATTGATAATGCAAGTCATCTCTCTCTGTGCAAGGTTGATCCATATCTAGTGACATTTCGTGATTCAGACAAATGCATTGATTATATTACTCAGATACAAGCCAGCGAGAAGAAAGTAATTCTGCTAATATCAAGCAAGATGCCATTCCAGTCTCTTGACGCACTTCTACATCTAAGACAAGAATTTTCACAAATTGATTCAGTCTATGTTTTCTATTCAAATGAAATGGACACTGCTAAAGATGTCGAAGTATCTTCTGGAGTTTACACAAATATTGAATCATTATGTAATCATTTACGTCAAGTACCAACTATACAACGTGATCGCCGAGAAGGATTTTTGCGTGATGATTTTACTCTCTCCTCATTGTCTCGTGCAGCTCTTCCTTCTACTCCTTCACCTTCCACCAGTCAACTTCTGCCCTCACCATTGACCGATATTACTACTAACCGGCAGGAGGCCGAATTTATGTATGCACAATTTTTACGAGATATTCTGGTTGAAATGGAATCCACAGAAGAGGAAATGATCGAATTTTGTCGCGAAAAATGTGCCAGTAATAAAACAGAATTGAATGTTGTCGATGAATTTGAAGCTTATTATGATGTAATAAATGCTATCTTTTGGTACACACGCGACACATTTCTCTATCGTCTTTTGAACAGAGCACTGAGAGAACAGGATGTTGATATACTTTATTCACTACGTTACTTTATCAAAGATCTTCACCTACAGCTAAAACAAAGACACGCCTCACAACAACAGACATCGACAATACATGGTCCTCCTCCTACTACTAGTGCTGCAGCGGAACAAATCATAGAAACGGTTTATCGAGGACAGTTGATGGATAACGAAGAATTCGACAAGAAAATACGACACAATACAGGAGGCTTCTTCTCCGTCAGCAGTTTTTTATCAACAACTTTACATAAAAATTTGGCCACTGTGTACGCTGGTAATCGAAGCAACAACAAAACGCCTTCAGAACAAAGTGTTTTGTTTCAAATCGACATTGATAAAATTGTCAATAAATTTCCCTATGCAAATATTTCGTCAGAAAGTGCATTTGACAAAGAGGAAGATGAAATTTTATTTACAATGGGAGCCGTGTTTCGAATAGAGTCAATTGATTTGAGTGATGAAGGTATTTGGAATGTTAAACTGAAGCTCACTGGCGAAGAAGATGAAGAGCTAAGAAAACTAACTGAGCATATAAGAGAAGATGTATTGTCTACGAGTCCTCTTGGTAGTTTGGCAAGAATGATGATGGAGATGGCAAAGTATGATAAAGCCGAAAAGTACCACCTTTTACTACTCGAAGATCCAACAAACACTGAAGATTTCAAAACATTGTCTGCTATCTACAATAATCTTGGATACATTCATAATGGTATGGGTCGAGTAGCAAAAGCAATTGAATACTATGAAAATGCACTTGATATCAAACTCAAACATTTACCTGCAAATGATTCATCTCTAGCATCTGGATATAATAATCTAGCAAACATCTATCGTCAACAAAGTGAATATGAAAAAGCTCTATCGTATTTTCACAAAGCAATTGCCATAGATCTAAATGCAGTAAATCCAAATCCAAATAAAATTGCAAATCGTTACAATAATATTGGACTTGTCTACCATGCACAACAACGTTATTCAGAAGCATTGGCGATGTTTGAACAATGTTTAAACATACAATCCGAAGCTCTGCCATCTAATCACCCAGGAATTGCAACTTCTCACAGTAACATCTCACAAGTATACCATTCGCTCGCTGACTATGAAAAAACCATAGAATATTTAAATCGAACACTTCAAATTCAAATCAATTCACTTCCACCAAATCATCCAGACATAGCAAGAACCTATAACAATTTAGGTCAGGCATATGACAGACAAGGCAAACTCAGAGAAGCAGTAGAAATGTATGACAAATCCTTAGAGATCGATCTGAAAATTCTTCCTCTTAATCATCCTACAATTTTAATAATATACAATAACATTTCACTAGTTATTAATTCCCTCCGTGACTATGATAAAGCAATTGAATGTTTAAACCCAACGCTTCAAATTGAATTAGATTCACTGTCATCCAATCATACAGAATTAGCAGGAATCTATCATAATTTAGCTAACGCATACTATCATACAGGTAAACTCAAAGAAGCATTAGAAATAAATAAAAAGTCTCTCGAGATTCGATTAAAAGTTCTACCGACTAATCATCCTGACCTAGCAGCATCTTACAATAACATCTCACAAGTTTACGATTCACTCGGTAACTATAATAGAGCAATTGAATATCTAGACCAAACACTTCAAGTTCAAATAAGTTCACATCCGCCAGATTATCCAGTTTTAGCATCAACTTATAACAATTTGGCTGGAGCATTGTACAAACAAGGTGAATTTGATGAAGCATTAAAATTGTATAAAAAATCTCTCGAAATTCGATTGCAAGCTCTGCCAACCAATCATCCTGACATAGCAATGTCTTACAATAACATCTCACAAGTTTATGATTCGATAGGCATTCATGAAGAATCAATTTTCTATTCAAACAAATTACTTCAAATACAGTTGCATACACTTCCATCAGATCATACCGATTTTGCAAGAACATATAACAACTTAGGTCTGTCATATTACAATCAAGGTAAACTTGAAGAAGCATTAGTAATGCATGACAAATCTCTAAAAATACGATTGAATGGTCTGCCGACTAATTATCCGGACATAGCAAAATCTTACTATAACATATCATTAGTTCACTGTAAACAAGGTGATAATGAGAAAGTAATTGAATATTTAAATAAGACACTTGAAATTGAACTACTTTCACTACCAGCAAATCATCCAGATTTAGCTAAAACCTATGACACTTTGGCCGGAGCACTATATGAACAAGGGAAATTTAAAGAAGCATTAGAAACTATGATGAAGAGTTATGATATTAATTCAAAATATTTATCGTCTGATCATCCAGAAATAATCGACAATCTAGAAAAAATTGATTTTCTTACAAATAGCTACGAGCAGTGGCGGCGCAGTGGCGGTGAACCAGGGAGGCATTCAGAAGCAATTGTTTCCCTTAAATAAAATTTTTACAAGTACAAAAGATGTTAACAATAAAACTATTGTACAAATATGAGGAAAAAAACTAATTTCACTTCATACATATAACAAAAGTGTTTATCTATCTTTCTGTTTCTTTCTTCTTATAACAACAAGCTGTTCTAACAAACATCCGGGTATTTTCATATAGAACATACCACCATTACATCGATGTTCGGCATTGAAGAATTATGAGTTGGCCTATGAGATTCGCCGAGAGCGATTACCGTCCGATCATCCTCACATTGCTGCTTCGCTCTACAATACTGGACTCATTGCCGACAGAAAGGTGAAGTTCAGTGAAGCACTAGATTATTTCCTTCAAGCATTACATATTAAAGAGAAAACTAATTCGGGTGCTAATGTGCAGAAAGCAGTGATGATTGAAAACATTGGCAGAGCGTATAGAGATAAAGGTGATTGTGACACCTCTCATTTACCTGTCTCGTGCCCTCGATATGTTTCTCCGTGTTCTACCTGCTCAACATCCCAATATTGCTTCCTGTCTGGGCTCGATCGGGTTCGTTCACGTGAAGAACGGTTTCTTTGCCCTTGCACTGGATTATTTTCGTTCTGCATTCAAGATGGAAGAACAGTGTTTGCCGCCAGATCATTCGGATCTCTCGGACGTTCTCGCCTTGATCGTCGATGCATAGATGAAGAAGGGTGATAAAGCGAAGGCCTTGAACTTTTGTCGCGAAATCTCAATGCTCAGAAGAATACACTAGGCAAGACTCATCCTTGCGTTGCTCGAACATTGGTGACTATGGGCAGAGTTATCAACGGCTATATTCACGGGAACGCGCTCAAATATTGTAAACAAATTCTGTCAATTCTTCAACATTCAAAATCACCTGATCATCGAATAACCTCCAAGTGTCTTAATGCCATGGGTTGCTTGTACAACAAAAGTGTCTGCTAGTTTTTTTGAAACATTAACTTCCGCGTTGGGCAACTTCAAAAAATGTTTTTTCTAAGGAGGGAACTACCCGCGGTGTCAAAAAACGTTTCGACCGGGAATATCATGGTTAGATAGGGTATAGCTAGGAGTGATATACCCTAAGTTGGTTCGTGCGCAAGTTGCTTCTAACAGGAGGTATGAGTTTTTCAAGTTATCAACGAAATTTTCAATTTTTCTCCGAAACCTTAGTTTTCTCGAAGAAACAATGGTATTTTGGGCTGAAACTTTTGTTATGTCTATCTCAAACAGTGGTCTTGATCAATTGGAAGTTTCAGCTGAAAATGATAAGAATATGACAAGAAAGACAGGTTTCAAAACTTTCTCCGCAACTTTATAGCTTTCCCTGTTTCACTGCTTGACAAACAAAAAGATCGTTTGAGCAGATTTTTTCAGATCATTATCGACTTAAGGCAGTCTATTTCATCATCATATATCATTGGATAATATTAAATTGGATCAAAATATTTTAAAAAATTAAACATAAGTTATCACAAGTAAATTTTTACAAGTACAAAAGATGTTAACAATAAAACTATTGTACAAATATGATGAAAAAAACAAATTTCACTTCATACATATAACAAAAGTGTTTATCTAATTTTCTATTTCTTTCTCCTTATAACAAGCAATTCGTTTTGCAAGAAGTTGTTTACTTGTCTTATTATTTATGGTGTTGAATTTGCTGATAAAAGAAGTCGGTATTTCCATATAGAACATACCATCATTAGATCGATGTTCGGCGCAAATTATAAGACAAAGTTTTTCTGATACAGTTTTGGATGCTGAATCCAATCGCGAAAAGCCAAGGTCTGTATCTTATGCAGAAAAACAGTTATGGGGAAAATACTCCCCCAGCAGAAAAGTGCTTTTTCCAGTTAAAATGGTCACTATTGCAGTGCCTGTTTGGATCCCTCATCCCTAAGCTAGAGCCTTCATTTTGATCTCAAATGAAAGAGCGTGATGAATTCTATATATTTCGATGAAAAAAAGTTCACGTGGAAGAGGTCTGAAAATTCTCTAGAAAACCATCGATTCCTGATAAACCTTCAAACTCGCCGAAAAAGCTTTAAAGCTCACCTAATTTTATATCTGTAATCCGTTCCAATGTGTATATCACGGATAATCCTTGTTGTTGGGAAAAGAATGTGTTCTTTTGATATTTTCTTAGTTTTATATATATCGTCTGTTATAAATCAAGGGAAACGGAAGGGTTTACTGGGATAGTTTCCTTGTTAGAAGAAAAAACTTTCAAGTACTGCTGCATGTCAAATCCTGATCTAAATCATTTTCGACGGATCCTTCATGTATTATAACTTCTGTTTGGTCATTTGAATTCTGTCATTTGAATTTCAATTGATCATTGAGTGATTTAGCAATAAATCATATCTACCAACCTGTACAGCATATGCTAACATACGATATAATATAATAAACAATAAGAATCCAAAATGCAAAATTATAATGTATTTACGAGCAATAATTTTTTTTGCTTCGGAAAAAATTGCCCATTTGCTTTTAGCTTGTAATATCATCACTCGATAGAGAAATGTTTTCTCTTTCAATCTACACAAGGCCGACCTTCCTAGCTTGTTCTATTCAGCCGCTATAAGCGTTTTCCTAGGAGCCCCGATTTCGGTTATTTGATCTTGAATCACCGCAAAATAGGTCGACATGGTGGTAATCGACCACGCTGAGTCAAGTGCCAATGTTTATTTTCAGTTTCAAAGCGAGATAAAGACATTATATTAAGCTTTCGAAATATCCACTCCGCACACCATTTAGTAGGAAAAAGTTGAATTTTTAAAACTCTTAATATAATGAATTTATCTCGCTTTGAAACTGAAAATAAACATTGCCACTTGACTCAGCGTGGCCGATTACCACCATGTCGACTTATTTTGCGGTGATTCAAGGTCAAATAGCCGAAATCGGGGCTCCCAGGAAAACGCTTATAGCTCCTGACTTCGTTATTCTCGAGAAAGTAACGAAGTAACGAAATTCTTTTTTAAGGAAAAAGCCATATTTTCTTTTCGATATTCTCTAACGTTCTAACATATAAATCTTGATATGAAAATGTCACTTTTCCCTAATATGACCAAAGTTCTTTTATTAATTAATAGTAAGACAGAAGAAAGTAAACTTCTGAGGATGTTTTAAAACATTTTTGATAATGAAAAACGAATATTCTGTTCTTGGTCCGTAGACTGAAAAAGATGGTAAAGCAAGAATTTCGCAAGACATAAAGTAGTCAAACAGAAAAAGAAAGCAAAGAGTTATCTTCCTCCCTTCTCACATATAGTTCACGATGGAAAAAATAAAACCCTTTTTCTTTTTAATGAGCGTGGCACCTTATCCGTGGTTACTGATAACGCGTAATTTTGTGTTGTCAAAATTGACTGATCTTTTTTTGCCCTCTCTCGTTTCTGTGCCTTTGGTAAGGTGACATATTTTTACAATATGTCAAGTCAGCAATTTTTTTGATAATATTTTCTTTTACTCGATTTTGATAATCCATATTCACGCGTATTTTATTAGAAGATGATTTTTTTCTCAAACGACAAGTTTTGTGCATAAGTAACTTTTCTTTGACTACTTACATTTTTTCGGTTGTTTTTGTTTCTAGGCGGTAGGAACAAAAAAATTCAAGATAAATATACAAATAGGAATAATGGAAAATCCATACATAGAATCAGTACAAAACGTTTCTTGAAAGCAGGGGAAAGAGGTATCAGGGCGCCGTGTGGGCCGGGCTGAGCCGGCAAAAGTTGGCCCGTGGGCTATGCCGTCCTTTACCGGCCCAGTCCATGGTTTTTAGTTCTAAATTTTCCAGCCCAGCCCGATCCATGGACCGGACTGGCTGACCCATGGGCGCGCGTGAGCGGCCCATCTAATAAAAGGTTTTTCCTAAACACAGCCCCATTTACCATGTTGATCAAGGCTACTTATCATTTACTCTTCTATTTCATAAGGACAATCATAGTTTATTCCACTTGACTAATCACAGTTAAGCATAACTTTTTCACACAAACAGCCATAGAAAACAGTACTGAGAAGAGTAGAGAATCTCTCTGTACAAAAATAGTTTTAGGCAGGAAAAAGCGAAAAGAGAAATGAGAATACGAAGCACAATTACTATTCTTTAAGTAAAAGGATCGTTCTCACGCGACCTCTAGTGGTAAAATATCGGTTTATCAATATATCAACCCATGGGCAGAGACCTTCCTCCCATGGGCGCCCATTATAATAGGTAGTGGCTCAGCCCGACCCATGGTTCTGATTGTGCAAAAAATCCCGCCCATGGTAGACCATGGGCCGGGCCGGTTTTAACCCAGTCCATTCGGAGTCCTGAGAGGTATCGTGGAAGAAAATACACAGAAAAGCATATAAACCTGCAGGGCAGGGCAGTGTAGACGTTTTCACCCACCCCATCCTGCCTGTGCAGGTTAAAAGGTCTTTTTCTAACCTGCAAGCTACAACATGAGTAAATTTTATTTTGTCCTTGCGCAATCTACGCACAGAGGTCAAAAATTATGCAGGTGATTAGCTTTAGTTGATATCCAGCTGTTGGGTTTCGGATGGATACTTATGAAATGATCAGTGAAAAACAAAAATATGCGAAGTTCAATCTGATCTCCAAAAGAATACTAAATAAAGTTTTTCTGAGTGTACTTAAAACCCAAGAAAGGTTTTTACATCAACTAATATTGAAGAATATCAGTCTATTTCATGCTGCTATTCTGAAATGGCTTAATGACACTCACAGTGTCGAAAAAACTTGAGAACTGGATCATAATTACCCCAAGTACCTTAATATACTTTTATTTATACATACACATATATATATTATATAAATGTATGTTATAATTTTTTCTAATAGAGTAGTTATTTTTTTGTCTATATTAGTTTTCAAACACAATCTTGTTAAAGCATAAAAAGTGCATGAATTAAAGGAAATGAAAAAAAATGAAAAACATACCTGACTTTGAATCAGACAAAATCGACAGAATGAATAAGAAAAATTATT